TTGGACTGTGGGTGTGTGTGTGTGTGTGTGTGTGTAGCCAGGGGCTGGACCCTGCTGTGAAGGTGTGTATGGTGCAGCGGGGATTGTGTGTAGCCAGGGGTTGGACCCTGCTTTGAAGGTGTGTGTGTGTGTGTAGCCAGAGGCTGGACCCTGCAGTGAACGGGTGTGTGTGTGTGTGTAGCCAGGGGTTGGACCCTGCAGTGAAGGGGTGTGTGTGTGTGTGTGTGTGTGTAGCCAGGGGCTGGACCCTGCTGTGAAGGTGTGTATGGTGCAGCGGGGATTGTGTGTAGCCAGGGGTTGGACCCTGCAGTGAAGGGGTGTGTGTGTGTGTGTGTGTGTGTATTTGTGGGATAGCTGGTTCCCCCTTTAGTTTAAACCTTTAGTGGAAGCTCTATCCTCTTTAGTTTAACCTTGTAGTGCATATAGTGGAGTTTTAATTCCTCAATCAATAAATCCATTCTAGTGTAACCCTGGGTGGTCTCCAGTGGGAATTTTTGGGGTAACAGTGGTTAGGTCAGGCAACTCAACTGGAGATGTGTCTTGAGAGCAGGCATAACCTGGCAATAACTAATAATAATGAGCAGGGACGACTCATTTAGCTCCAGAAGCATATTCCAAGCCAAAACTGGCTCTCCAGGACTAAAGGTTCGGTCTTTTGCTCTGGATTCACACCTGATGACTTGACCTTGCTGTTGACATTGCACAATTAGTCACAGTTCAGAAGATTTCAGCAGATTAAAGCAAGTGTGCAGCTGATGTCCCATCTTTAGAAAAGCCAAGGACATTTTGATTGTAGCATGAGATGTGTTTCTGTAGGACAGCGTGAAGGTATTTGCATGAGTGAATGTCCTCTAGTCAATTTCAAAACTTGTTTCATTGTCTGCACAAACCTTTCAGCCAATCCATTGGTGGATGGGTGATACGGTGCTAAAGTGATGTGCTGAATTTGTTTTCATAATATTTCCAAACTCCTGAGAGAGAAACTGCAGACTGTTGTTGCTCACAAGTTGTTCTGAAAGACCAAAACAACAAAAGATTCCCCATAGTTTTTTGATAGTACTCTCAGCAGTAGCGGATGGCATTATAGAGACTTCTGGCCATTTGGAATGAGCATCTACCACCACTGAGAACTTGCTACCTTCAAATGGGCCACCAAAATCAATGTGAATACATTGCTATGGTTTTTCAGGCCAGTCTCATGGGTGTAGAGATGCCAACTGTGGTGCATTCCTCGAGCTCTTGCCTTCTCTTCAAAGGCACCGTCCAAGCCAGGCCATTGAAAATAGCTTCATGCAATTTCTTTCATGCAAACAATTTCACAGTGACCTGAATGCAGCTGTTCTAATATCTCTTGTCTCAGTATCTTTGGACACACATTCTCCACAACAAGCACCCAGAATGGATTGATAACTCGTCCTCCTGGACATGCATGGAACAAGGTCAGGTGAGACCTGAGAGTCCCGTAGAGATGTTCCATGCATCAGTAGGTCCATAACTTGGGACAGTACTGGGTCAACACAAGGGCTACGTCTACACTGGCCCCTTCTTCGGAAGGGGCATGCTCATTTTGAACTCGGGAATAGGGAAATCTGCGGGGGATTTAAATAAACATGGCCGCCGCTTTTTTTCCGGCTTGGTTGGACCCTGCTTTGAAGGTGTGTGTGTGTGTGTAGCCAGAGGCTGGACCCTGCAGTGAACGGGTGTGTGTGTGTGTGTAGCCAGGGGTTGGACCCTGCAGTGAAGGGGTGTGTGTGTGTGTGTGTGTGTGTAGCCAGGGGCTGGACCCTGCTGTGAAGGTGTGTATGGTGCAGCGGGGATTGTGTGTAGCCAGGGGTTGGACCCTGCTTTGAAGGTGTGTGTGTGTGTGTAGCCAGAGGCTGGACCCTGCAGTGAACGGGTGTGTGTGTGTGTGTAGCCAGGGGTTGGACCCTGCAGTGAAGGGGTGTGTGTGTGTGTGTGTGTGTGTAGCCAGGGGCTGGACCCTGCTGTGAAGGTGTGTATGGTGCAGCGGGGATTGTGTGTAGCCAGGGGTTGGACCCTGCTTTGAAGGTGTGTGTGTGTGTGTAGCCAGAGGCTGGACCCTGCAGTGAACGGGTGTGTGTGTGTGTGTAGCCAGGGGTTGGACCCTGCAGTGAAGGGGTGTGTGTGTGTGTGTGTGTGTGTAGCCAGGGGCTGGACCCTGCTGTGAAGGTGTGTATGGTGCAGCGGGGATTGTGTGTAGCCAGGGGTTGGACCCTGCTTTGAAGGTGTGTGTGTGTGTGTAGCCAGAGGCTGGACCCTGCAGTGAACGGGTGTGTGTGTGTGTGTAGCCAGGGGTTGGACCCTGCAGTGAAGGGGTGTGTGTGTGTGTGTGTGTGTGTAGCCAGGGGCTGGACCCTGCTGTGAAGGTGTGTATGGTGCAGCGGGGATTGTGTGTAGCCAGGGGTTGGACCCTGCTTTGAAGGTGTGTGTGTGTGTGTAGCCAGAGGCTGGACCCTGCAGTGAACGGGTGTGTGTGTGTAGCCAGGGGTTGGACCCTGCAGTGAAGGGGTGTGTGTGTGTGTGTGTGTGTGTAGCCAGGGGCTGGACCCTGCTGTGAAGGTGTGTATGGTGCAGCGGGGATTGTGTGTAGCCAGGGGTTGGACCCTGCAGTGAAGGGGTGTGTGTGTGTGTGTAGCCAGAGGCTGGACCCTGCAGTGAACGGGTGTGTGTGTGTCTTGTTTTCCTGCTCTGAGCCGGAAGACAGCTCCCCTGCGGAACCAGGTAAGCGGGGAAGTGGGGGAAAAAGGGGGTCTGGGCCCGATTGCTGAGTGTGTGTAGGGCTGCCAGGTGTCCGGTATTTTCTGGCAGGGGGAAAAAAAATCAGAAAATACTGGACATTTAGGAATTTTTTTACCAGACTAGAGGCAAAAATACTGGACTGTCCGGGTCAATACCGGACACCTGGCAACCCTAGGCAGGCTATCGGCAGAGTGGGAGCCGAGCCCATTTCTTCAGGGTCTCGGGCTAGTGCCCTTGTCACTAAATTTTGCTTCAGTGAATCATTGTGTCCAATTTATCCTTAATCTCGAACTAGAACATCAGCCTGCTGGGCACTGAAATGTAGCTAACCAAACACTCGTTTACAGCCTCAAAAAGTGTTACTCACTGACTAGCCCTGCCCCGGGCGAATAGGCCTAGTAGCCTCACTTTGCGTGTGGGGGAAGTGAGGGACAGAGGGACAACTTGCCCAAATCACACAGCAAGTCAGGATTAGACCCAGGAATTCTCCAGTCTAACACCCCTTGGTTGCTCTTAAGCAACACATGCCAGAAGGATTGGCTGCCAAACTGCACTGCAAGTTCGTGAGGGCAAAGACAGTGTTTTTGTTCTGTTTGTACAGCTCCTGTCACCACGGGGACCTGGTCCATGGCAGGGGCTTCTAGGCATTCCACTGACACAAAATAGTTATAGTTCTATTGCTTGCAAAGCCAAGCATACCTAAGGTGGAAAAGCAGACGTATTGCCCATGTAGCCTTAATTCTGCACCTTGTGTCTCCCACCTAAGCACTGAATGAGGAGGGGTTTGTTGGGAAATTTAGATTTTTGTAATTAAAGACTCTCATAATGTACATGCTCAAGGGTGCAAATATATATGAAAAAGCCAAGCAATGACTTGTGAAATTTGTTGTGTTTATATTTAAAATGACACTTTGTTTTTTGGAAATGAAAATTGTTCAGTTTTCCCGTGTTGAAATTGTGGTTTCCCTTCCTCTTTTTCCCTCCCGAAATGTTGATTCAAAACTAAACAAATTTTAATTTAAAAACTTCATTTTGAATGTTTTATTTACCTTTTCTGTGAGAAAAATAAAAAGCAGCACGGAAGTCAGTATTTTCCTGCAGAAAATGTGGGTTTCATACAATTCCATTTTATAACAGGAAAATGTTTTGGTCAAGGCATTTCGGCTAGTTCTGCTCAGTGTGTAAAGATTTGTGCTTCTCTCTCAGAGCATTGATTCTTGCAGGGCACTAAGATGTCCAGTGTAGATAATTACCTTTCAGTAAAGTGATTAACTCAGTTAATTGTAATTCCACTTTCATCTTAATTGGTGTCTATTAAGCCCCTGTTGTAAAACGAGCGTGTTGGCATTGGGAAGCCTGGCTCTCCTGGCGCTGTTGCTCGTGCAGTACAGGAGCTGTGGAAGTTGGACCCCCCCCTGTCTGTAGATAACCTGGCTGCACTTAAAAGCTGCATAGTGCCAGCAGGTCAATATCTGAAGTCCCACAAAAGGGGAGTGGGAAGAGCTTAGATCTTCATTTCAAGAAGTGATCTGTACAGGGCAGCTTGCAGAGCGCTGACTTCAAACCCACCACCATGAAATAAGTCGCCAGCAGTAAGTTTCCTCTGATGAGCTGCTTGCAGTCATAATGTAACAAGCAGAACCTCATAACCAGAACCCCCTTGCCAGAAGTCTCAACGGAGAAGACAGAGCTAAAGAGCCTGTGGGCTTTCAGTGCCCCTCCCTGATCAGGACTGGGACCTGCTGAAAGTGCAGCCACCGTGGGGGTGCTATGTGAGACCCTGCCCGCAGTCTCAGACCTCCACCTCTCCTTGGGGCAATCCCATCATTCTCCCACCTTTACGCCACGTCCTGGCTACAGCACACTCTGATCCAACCTTGCTTACCAGCTGGCCTGGCTGCGTTCAGCAGCTGCAAGTCTCCCCTTTGGGGGAGACAGTGGGAATATGGTGCCCAGGCAGCCTGTTGGAAGCCTTGATCAGCCATAGTAGCAGGAGTGAAGAGTAGCCCCTGTAGTTCCCAGGAAACTTGGGAACTCCAAACTCCTTCTGACCCCCAGTGTGTCAGTTTGCTGCCTACAAACCACTTGCTCCCTCCCTCTGCTCAGGGAAGCTTTTCACCTGTCTCTGGGCCTTTTGAGCACTGGCCAAGCACATCGTGTAGCTTGGTTTTGTCTGAAAATAGCATCTTCTTGGCTAATAGTTCAAGCCTCATGTCGTAAGGACCCAGCTGTGCATGCTGGGAGTTTGTTCCTCTGGTTCCATTTTATTGCTTCTAGCTCGTTTTGCAATAGTGACAATATAAGCTAAACCAAGCCATACACACAGTAAATTTCCCACTAACCACTACAATAACCATTAAACTAGGTCAGTCCTATGTCCTTCCTTGTGGGTGTAACACTGGCAGACCCCAGTTATCTGTGGGTGGAATTGAACCTGGAACCTCTGGAGCTTACTGCACAAGACTTTATGGTATAAGCTAAAAGCCAGGGGGCTATTAGCTAGAGAGCAGACTCCTTATTCTGTCTGTAAGTGGTCTCCATGTACCACACCCAGCAGGTGGGTGGGTTGCACCTGCATTAGTGCTGCCCATCGCCGAGTAACAGGCAAACAGCAGCACCTAGGATGGGCTGAGTGTTGGCATGGTGCTTCCAGCCGACCCTGCGCTGGAAGAGCTGTGGCCTGGCAGGTGCCAAAACGTAATAACCAGCAGGTGATTTTTATGGTTTTCTAAAGAAGAATCAGGCGGAACATTTCCACTCTCCTGGCGACATTCGCTTTGCAGATAGGGAAATGGAAGGAGGGAAAATAAGTGACCTGATGCCCATGATCACTCTGACAACACTTGGAGTAGATCTTGGGAAGGCAGGATTATCAGGCCTATAGTTAAGCCATGCTCCTCTCCCTGACAGCTACCAGCTGGCCTGCTAGGGTGGGCAGAGACCTCTAACCAGCTAGACTGTCTGGTTTAAAACACAGCCACCCAGATTATCTGGATAAAACTCTGTGATTAAAATCTTTAGGCTCCAACACTGTCCCAGAAGTTTGCTGCACCATGAAGGGTTTAGCACAAGCTCCAAGAGGAGCTACCCAAGATGCCTGCCGCCAGCTAATGTCAAGGAGCCAGTGTATGGACTGTGGCAGCTGCTGGAGGAGAGAGAAAAAGACAAAGAGAATTAACATCTGTGCTGTAGGCATACTGAGGCGGAGGGATGCTGCTCCAGAGCACCTGCCCTCCCTGTTCTCCGGGGCTGGGAAGGCTGGGGCATGTGCCCTTCTCCCTCCAGTGCCCTGGCACTGGGGAGGCTGGGGGTGTGTGCCCCTCCCTCCCAGGTTGTCTGGAACCAGGCAGGCTTGTGCCATATGACCTCCTCCCTCTCCAGTGCTCCGGGCTGGGGAGGCTGGGGCGTGCTTGCTTGGTGTGCTGCCTTGCCTCCTCCCCTCCCCGTGGTGGGGAAGCGCAGCCTCAGCAGAAGGGGCAGGATTGTAGGTGGGGCTAGGGTATGTCTAGACTGCAGGCTTTTTTTGGAAGAAGCTCGTCTGGAAGAGATCTTCCGAAAAACATTTTTCAAAAGAGAGCGTCTACACAGCAAAAGTGCAACGAAAAAGCGATCTGCTTTTTCAAAAGAGAGCGTCCACAATGACTGGACGCTATCTCACATTTCAGTTGTGATTACTGTGGACGGAGTGGCCACCGGGGCACCTGTGCTTTTTCCTGGAGGCCACTTTCGAAAAAACACTCTCTTTTGCATCCATACATGCCTTTTTCTGAAAAAGCTTTTTTGGAAAAAGGCTTCTTCCTTGTAGAAAGAGACTTACTGCTGTCAAAACCCCCCCTCCGTTCTTTTGACTTTCTGTCAAAAGAACCCAATAACAGTGTGGACGTAAGTGTAGTTTTTCCAGAAAAAGGGCCCTTTTTCTGGAAAAACTCTGCAGTGTAGACATGCCCCCAGTGCCACCTTCACCGACCACCCATGCTTGGAACAATTCCATGCATCTCTCTGAATTCTGACAGATAGAAACAAACATGGATAAGAATCTTTTCTGCTTTTTTTTAAGTTACATGTTTGCAGAAGCGGGAAATTAAAACTACCAACTACTCCTCGGCTGTGTCTAGACTGGCCAATTTTTCCGGAAAATCAGCTGCTTTTCTGGAAAAACTTGCCAGCTGTCTACACTGCTGCTTGAATTTCCGCAAAAGCACTGACTTCCTATTGTAAGACATCAGTGCTTCTTGCGGAAATACTATTCTGCTCCCGTTCAGGCAAAAGTCCCTTTTGCGCAAAAGGGCCAGTGTAGACAGCTCAGATTTGTTTTCCGCAAAAAAGCCCCGATCGCGAAAATGGCAATCGGGGCTTTTTTGTGCAAAAGCGCGTCTAGATTGGCACGGACGCTTTTCCGCAAATCTAGACGCTCTGTTCTGCAAATGCTTTTAATGGAAAACTTTTCTGTTAAAAGCATTTCTGGAAAATAATGTCAATCTAGACGCAACCCTCTTGTACTAATTGTTGGGGGGCAGTAGAAGCTGAGATTCAGAAATAAAATAATCAAATTTAGGTTTTTTTTTAACCAACACATATGATAAAAATGTTTATTTACAGTGCGGGAGGAGAAGCTTGCTGGTCCTCTGGGAAGATTCATGGAATCTTCCTCTTTATCTAATTTAGCTGATCCCCAGATCTGGTCCTCATCACTGAGGGCTCATAAACTTTTAATGCATTTAAAGATGATGCTGTTGTTTTATTGCTTGAAATCAGCTGTGGTAATAGGCATCCTAGAAGGACTTTAAATATCACCCTGAGGACACAGAGACAGGCCACGGTTGTCTCCTCAGCTGCCTACCCTTCTTGCCCAGCTCTTTTTCTCTTAGGGTGCATCTACACTGCAATGTTTTTCCAGAATAATGGGCGTTATTCCAGAAAAACAACACTTGCGTCCACACTGCAATTGCATTCTTTCAACAAAAAGTCGAAAGAATGGAGGGCTTTTTCAGACGGTGGTAAATCGTCTATGAGGAACAACACCTTTTTCGAAAAAACTTTTTTGGAAAAAGGCGTGTGTGGACGCAGAAGAGGGAGTTCTGTCAAAAAAAGAGGCCTCCGGGAAATAACACAGGTGCCCTGCTGGCCACTCTGTCCACACTCATCACAACTCTATAGTTCCTGTCTCCTGGCAGCTCTTAAAGCTGCAGGCACCCGGGACCAGGCTCGTGGCAGGAAGCCGGCCCTGGGAGCGGCACCTCACCATGCAGGCACCCCCCCAGGCCCCTCACACTGCCACTCTCCTCGGCACCCATGGCCCCGAGAGCCCACTGGCCTTCCCAGGGAGCATGCCCAGTGCCGACCTGGTCTGGGGTGGAGATCCTGGCACTTCTGGATGTCTGGGACAAAGAGGAGACCCTCCGGGATCTCTGCTCCAGCTGACGGAAAGCTGACATCTATGGCTGGAGGGCCACGGTCCTGGCCATGAGGGGCCACCACCCCAGGAGCCTTAAGCAGGTCTGGAGCAAGGTGAAGGGGCTCTGGCAGGGCTATGCCAGGGCCAGGGAGCGCAGCTCTCGCTCTGGGGCAGAACGCCACTTCTGCCCTATTTCAATGAGCTCCACCACACCCTGGGGGCCGGGGTGGCCCCTTTCCCACCCCTGGTCATTGACACTGGGCTTGAGATGCCTGTCGTCACCCACCCGGGGGTCTGAGAGGACGAGGAGGAGGAGGAGGAGGAGGAGGAGGAGGAGGAGGAGTA